ACTATTTCAATGCCTGTAGGCTCACAGCTCCTGCCATTTGAGACAAGCCAGCCCTTCCTCTCATCCCCAGCCTCCATGGCTTAGGTCAAAGAGTACGAAACTCAGCCCATTTCTTCATTGCTGCACTTCCCCCGTTTCCACTCAAGTGGGCCCAGATGGTCACAAGCAAGCAACATACAGGCCTACTACTCACTGGCTTCCTTTAACTTTCAGTCCTGGAAGAGGCTTCTGTCATGGACTGTGACTCTCCTGCTCAATGCACCCAAAGCCTATCTGCTTGCTCAAAATTAAAAAAAAGCCAAGTAGTCATTTTTTTCTCTGTAGCTCCTGTCTTCACACGCAGATCTTCTGTTCTCTCAATAGACCTGGCTGGCCCTCAGGTTTTCTACCTAAGCCCCTAATATTCTACACACAGGGTTTGAAACAAAATCCTGTTTCCACTGGGCAAATTCTATTTCCCGTTTTAAACCTATCCAATCAAGTATTGGCTGAAGGCGGACTTTCACGTTCTCTGTTATCCACACCCCATAATCATTTCTAATATACAAGCAAGTAAGAGAACATTCAATACCTGTAGTACATTCAGATAAACACATAATCCAAAACACATAATCCTTTGTAAGACATTCCAAGTTCTTCTCTTCACCTTGATTATCTTCCCATTATGTGGCCTTGGGCCTTTGGCTGGGTATAACCAAAAACCCTAACCTCTGAATCAATTATCTCCTTTAATAGGTAACACCAACCAAAGTAACCATCTAAGAATCCAAAGTTTCACTTCCCAGGCCCCTTCCTTCTTTCTTTTACAAAGTCCCATGCTTCTATGAGTCTGGAGCCACTGCAACCAATCCCCCGCTTCTGACACCAACTGCCAAAGGGGCAATGAGGCCGTATCTTCTGACCTCCCCTAACCCCACAAGAGGAAGACAGAATCACCATCAGTAGCCCAAGGCTTATCCCTGCTAGGCCAGACATGCTGCCTCCCTCCAGCCCTTTCACCAACCGTGACACCAACCATTCCTCCCACAGCACCCACCACCTCTCTGCTGGGTTCAATCATTTGCTGCAGTGGCCACACAGAATTTACAGATTATGGGATTTATTAAGGAAGCAACAGGCTACAATTCAAGTTCAGGAACACACTCAGTCTCTCTCAGCCTGCCGTCTCTCAGCCAACAATCTCTCTCAGTCTCTCTCGCAGCAGTACGTGTCTCTCAGTGTATCTCTCCAGCAGTGTGTGTCTCTCACGTCTCCCAGCTGGCAGTGAGAAATTCCTTCTGCCTCTAGGAAGGCTCCTTTTGAGCCTGGTAGAGTGACCGAACTAACCACTCCCAACATCAGAGTTTTATACACCTGAGAGAGAAAGAGCTTCCCAGAAAACTACTTTGTGCTGCTCCCAACAGAAATACCCCAGGTGGATAATTTTAACAATCAGGAGCTACTCAGTTGCTCATGGCAAATTCCACCACAGAGTGCACAAAGACTTATGGCTAGAAAAGCCACACTATGTAATTTACTACACCGCAGGTCCTCACCCAGGCCCTAGAGTTGGCATCTTGAACTTGGACTTCTAGCCTCCCAAACTGTAAGAGAATAAATCCATGTTTGTTAAAGCCACCCATCTGTGGTATGTCTGTTGCAGCAGCCCTAGAGACCCAGAATACCGTTGTTGTGGCCGCTGTGTCCTGTATCCATCCGTCTCATGGAGGGTCTCTCTCGTTTGCACTGACCCTCCACTTTATCAGACACAAGGTCCTTCTCCAGCAGTTGGTCCCTCCTGATGGGATGTCTAAAGTAGGTGACCCAAAGTCTCATCAACCTTGCTTCTAAGGAGCTTCTGGCTGTACTTCCTCCAGGATTCATTTGCTCGTTCTCCAGTAGTCCATGTACATTCAGTATTCTTGTTGTTGTTGTTGTTACTAGTCGTCAAGTCATCTCCCACCACGACGACATTGTGCACAGAATAGGATTATCTGGTCCTGCACCATCTTCATGACAATCAGTGTGTTTGAGCTCATTGTTGTAGCCGTTGTGTCCACCTGTGTCATGAAGGTCACCCACCCTCTACTTTACCAAATAGAAGGTCCTTTTTCAGCAATGGGTCTTTCTCAACGACATGTCCAAAGTAAGCAAGCCACCGTCTCACCGTCTTTGCTTCTAAGAAGGATTCTGGATGTATTCTAAGACTAATTTGTTTGTCTAGATTCAGCTAATGGTGATAAAGCTGTTGTTGTTAGGTGCCGTTGAGTCGTCTCCAACTGATAGCCACCCTGTGCACAGCAGAACGAAACATTGCCTGGTCCTGTGCCAGCCTCACGATCCTTATTATACCTGAGCCCATCATTGCAGCCACTGTGTCAATCCATCTCATTGAAGATCTTCCCCTTTTTTGTTGACCCTCCACTTTACCCAGCATATCCTTCTCCAGGGAATGGTCCCTCTGACAACATGACCACAGTAGGTGAGATGAGGTCTGGCCATTCTCACTTCCAAGGAGCAATCTACCTACACTTCCTCCAGGACAGATCTGTCAGTCGTTTTAGCAGTCCGTGGAACTCTTTGCTTCTTCTCTAACACCGCAACTCAAAAACATCAACTCTTTTTCAGTCTTCCTTATTCATTGTCCGGCTCTCACATGTATAAGAGGTGATTGAAAATACCGTGGCTTGGGTTTGGCACACCTTAGTCTTCAAAGGGACATCTTGTCTCTTCATCACTTGGAAGAGGTCTTTAATAGCAGATTTGCCCAAGGCAGCACATTGTCTGATGTCTTGACTGCTGCTTCCATTGGTTTTGATTGTAGAACCAAATAATATGTAGTCCTTGACAACTTCAGTCTTTTCTCCACCCATCATGAAACTGTTTACTGGACCAGTTGTGAGGATTTTTGTTCTCTTTATATTGAGATGATAAAGTAAGGGGCTGGGATTTCTCCACTCCTCATCTGTGAGGTAGAGATTATTGTTGTTGAGTGCCATTGAATTGATTCCAACTCACAGTGACCCGTGTGCAATAAAAGAAAATACTGCCCATTTCTACACGATCCTCACGATCCTCAGTATGCTTGAGTGCATTGTTGCAGCCCCTGTGTCAGCCATCTCACTGAGGGTTTTCCTCTTTTTTCTCCATAAGGTGAAGATAGCAGTACCAAAAACCAAACCAAACCCATGACCGTCGAGTCAATTCCAACTCAGCCACGTCTTACATAACCAGTGCTACTATAACAGCAACATCACAGGTGGATGGCTTTAACAAACAGGAATTTATCCTCTCAAACCGTAAGAGGCTGGAGTTCCCAATGCAGAGCACTGGCTCTAGGGCAAGGCTTTCTCTCTCTGTCAGCTCTAGAGGAAGGTCCTTGGGTCCTTTCAATATCTGGGAAGCAGCGTTCCTTGGACATCTCTGTATGTCTTGGCATCAGTCTTCCCCTGGATCTAGGAGGTTCTCAGCACAGGGACCCTGGGTCCACTCCTGACTCTTCCTGCTTGGTGGTACTGAGGTCCTGCTCTCCTCTGCTCATTTGTTCAATCCCTTTCCTAGCCTCTGAAGCAGCTCTGCTTTCCGTTCTCCTTGTCTCTTCGGCTTCTGCTTCCTGGTGCCGTGGTCTCTCAAAGAGGCCAGGCCAGCCCCTGTTCTCTTTGGGCAAATGTGGCAAAGCTCTTGAGCTCTACTGATAAGTACCTGGACCAGTTGGTCAGAAAGCCTACCCAAGGGCACTCAGCTTTCTCCCTTTGGGGGTTGAATCCCATGCCATCTCGTACCGGTCGCCTGGTTCTGCTGCAGCCAATTCCAAAACCACTTCCACATTTTAAGTATCCACTGCAGCAACAGCACAGTCCCAGTACCAAACTCTTAGTTCTGTAGCTGCAGTAATAGAAATAAGTGGATGGTTTTAACAAACAGAAAGGTACTCTCATGGCTTAGGAGCCTAGGAGTCCAAATTCAGGGCACCAGCTCCAGGGGAAGGCTTGCTCTCTGTGTCAGTTCTGGGAGAAGGTCATTATCTCCTTTCACCATCTGTGGGCCAGGCATTCCTTGGACATGTCTCTTGGCATCTGTCTTCCCCTGGGTCTAGGCAGTTCCCAGCATTGAGACCCCAGGTCCTAAGGACACACTCCATTCCCACCTCTTCTTTCTTGGTGGTCCTAGGTCCCTCTCTGCTCTCTTCTCTTTCTTTTCATCCTTTTGTAAGAGGCAGTGCAGACCACACCCCAGGGAAACTCCCCTTATGTCAGATCAGGGCTGTGTCATGATTGAGGGTGTTACATCCCACCCTAACTCCCTTCCAGCTGATTGGCTGATCACATCAGGTCACATCATGAGTCATGATTACATGATTACATGACTGCCAAACCACTGAGAACCATGGCCCAGCCAAGCTGACACTTGTTTTGGGGGGCACTATGCAATCCATGACAGCTATCCTATAGAACAGAGTAGAACTGCCCCAGAGGGTTTCCAAGGCTGTTATCTTTATGGAAGCAGACTGCCACATGTTTCTCCTGTGGGGTGGCTGGTGGGTTCAAACCACTGACCTTTCAGTTTGCAGCTGAGCGCTGTAACCACTGTACCACCAGGGTTCCAGGGATAGTCGGACCTGCCTCATGGGGCTGTGGTGAGACATGTGAGGTGAGGGGATCTCGTGGGCTGACCTACGGATGATGGGCGCACCTTTCCCTAGAAAGACACCTCGTGCCAAATCACATTGGTGGTGGTTCCAGTCTTACCATCATACTGTAGACATTTATACTTGCCATGAAGTCCAGTGTTGCAGGTGGATCTAGTCATTCATTAGTATGATTAGAAAAACAAAGCCTGATTGAGCATGCCTGCCTGCAGTCCTTGCAATCTATTTTTCCAAATAAAGGGCAATATTCACTAAGTGGTTCTTCTCACCAGTGCTGTTGTAAATGTGAAGGATTGCAGTAGTCCTGGTCGGTCAAGCCTGGGGTCAGGAATGTGTCTGTTCATTAACCACACCGGTCTCCTTTCTTTCTTAGGCTTTGCCATGTGGTTAGTGGGCATGTTGATAAACATCCACTCAGATCACATCCTCAGGAACCTCAGGAAACCAGGGGAGACTGGATACAAAATACCGAGGGGTACGTACTGAAACGAAGACTTTACCTTAAAGCCGCACTGCACGGTGCCTTCCCGTTCTGTGTTAGTGTTGCCAGGTTGAGTAACAGTGCAGTGTTCATTAGCTGCGTGTTTTCAACGTGAGTCACTATTGTTGCTAGCCATGGTGTCATCAGTGTTTTACTAGATTAGCAAAGGGACCAGTTCTGACCCCACTGAATGGTCCTAGGCAGAAAGGAAACTCCAGTGATATCTCTGTTTGAGAAGAGAATGTGAGGGAGAATTGATGGTTTGTGAGGAATGGCTGATAGGTTCATTTCTGGCAGTATGATTGGACAGCTACCTGGACTTACCCTCCTTCTGAAAACAATGAAAAATGTTGGATGAAATCCTTTTTTAACAAAAGTCTTTACAATTCTTACTACCAAGAAAGGAGAAGTAGTCATTGAGTGCACAGAGCTTGTCCCTTGATCCTAGGGCACAGAGTATGTACCATGATCTGAGGCCACAGAGAGCATCCCATGGTCTGAGTGCCTGCTGCGAGCCAGAGAGAGTTCATGAGAATTTGTAACCGCCACTTGCTCCTCTTGTTGCCCTATAGGCCAAGTTCACACCCGTGGATGGTCTGAAAAGGTGCAAGCCACAATTTAGATTCCCTCTGGTCCAAAGTGGCCAGCCCTCATGCCCCGAGACAAAGCAAACCCAGATCCCCTCAAAGAACCTGCCTTCACCTAAGGCCTCAAAGAATCCCAACAGGTTCAGTTCCACCAAGTAAGAGGCCACATCAAAAGTTCTAGAACCCACAAGGAAATAAGGCACCATGAGTAGGAGCAGGATTAAACTTGAGAGATTCTGGTTATTAAAATTAATAGACAGTGAGTACTTAAAATGTTTTTAAAATGCAAGGGGTTTAAAATCATGAGTAAAGAAGGAAGATGCTGTAAAATGATGAAGGATTTATGTAAAAAAGAAGCCAAACTCACTGTCATCGAGTCAATTCCAACTCATAGCGACCCCCTTTGGGTTTCCAAGGCAGTAAATCTTTACAGAAGTAGATTGCCCAGTCTTCCTTCCACAGAGTGCCTGGTGGGTTTGAGCCTCCAGCCTTCTGGCTAGTAGTCAAATGCCTTAGGCACAGTGCCACCAGAGCTCCCTAGTACTTATGTAGGACAGTGAATTACTTAATATGGCTCTTCTAATCCTGGTCTTTGTGATTCTCACCAGATGACTGGGTAGAACTGTGCAAATGGGAGGTACTTGTGGCCCACCAGTGGGATTGGATAGGTTGGTAATAACATAAATACAGTACATGGCACCCTTGTAGGGATGGAGCTGCACAAATAAGGTATATGGAACCCTAACGTGAGGATTGGTCAGTTTTGCCCATCTCACTAGGCTCCTAGAAAAGGGGGACCTCACTACCATCAAGAGAGAAAAGCCAGGAGCAGAGCATGTCCTCGGAGCTGAGATCTCTGTGCTGAGACAGCGGAGAAATAGCGAGAAGCAGCAGAGGCAGCAGAACCAAGAGAGTGGCACGAGGCAGAGCGAGGGGCTTACCAGCCCATAGAGCAAGAAGGTCAAGTGCCTTCAGGCAGGAGGCTTGCTAGCAGAATGGGGAGCACTGTCAGCAGAGCTAAACAAGTTTTGTAAAACTTACCAAATCAGGCAGAGGCCAGGCAAGAGCCAAAGAGAGGAATGCCTACAGGCATGGCCGAGGGAGACTGTCCTGATCATATTACATCCTGAGCATTGCTGAACCTGAATTATTACCTCTTACTTCCATGGTAAACCCCACAATCTTGAATATTGTGTGAGAATTCTATGTGGCCTTTGCAACAAATTATCGGACCAAGCAGAGAAGAAGAGAGTGACAGGGAAGGAACAGTTGGTGAAAAAGTTGGAGGGTGACAGCATGTCTGACCTCTACTTCATAGGAATCAGCCTAGGCCTGATGCTGCTTTTGGTTATTCTTGTGAAGTTAGAGGAGGTCAGAGGACATTGCCACCACGCTTTCTGTGTGGTTGGTTTCAGAGGTGGGATTGAAATAGGACCAAATGTGAGTCCCTGCCCAGTGTGCAGTCAGGCCAAAACAGTTTACACATTGAGTGATTAAGAGGAGAGAAAATTATTTATTGCAAAGCGGCAATGCAAGGATGCAGGGGTCCATACCCAGATCTGACTCCCTGAATCCCCATTGAATTATAGTTTTTGTAGGTTTCAGAAGAAAGAGTTATACACATTCATTAAAATTTCAGGAATTTGGGCATGAGATGGTTGACGATTGGCTGAAATTTCCTTCGCCTAGGTTTAAAGGGACAGTAGGTTTTATTTGAGTGCGCCGCCTACAGGATGAGTCACACTAGCTTCCTATCATCAGCTGACTGGGGCTTAGGCAGAGGGGAGAGTGTTAGTTCCTAGCAACTTTGTTCCTCTCTGTTCCACTGCATATGTCTGTGGACCAGAGTCAATTTTCAAGTTTTTTTCTAAAACATATTAATGCGTTTTTAATGTGTTTATCACCTGTGCCTAAGGAAATAGCAGTAAAGAATGTTTTTTGTTCCGTTTAGATATTAAGGAACTGAGCTTATTGTGTTTACTCCTCTGCCTTAACCAGGCTGGGGAAATAGTTGAGGGTAATTAAGTTTACTTATGTATTCCCATCTGGGGTCATAGCTGTTCTAATTATCTGTTTTAACCAGAATGGGAAAATAGTTTTGACATTACTCAGTTTCAATTCCCCCTTAGAATAGATACTGTTCCACATTCTTGGGGAACACTTTACTCGGTTTCAATTCCCCCTTAGGATGGTTAATGTTCCACATTCTTGGGAAACGGGATGATGACTCATTCTAGCTGCTTCCTGCTGACTGGGAGTGAAGATGGTGGAACTTAATAGAGTTAGCTACCGATTCCAGGGAAACAGAAACATTCTAAAGAATTGATACAAAAAATGGAGGTCATCATGATTTTTCCCCAACGCCCATCATAAATTAAAATTATTATTTTAATTTAAAATAAATTAAATTAAATGAATTAAAATTCGTTGGGCCTTTTCCCAAGCACTCCACGTTAGATCAGGTGGGCTACACCGGTGTCAGTAGTTAGGTCGCGCAGAATGCAGAAATTCTTCTAATGGTAGGAAATGCATTCCTCCTGCCCAGATCCACCCTAGAACGCAGGTGCCTTCGTGATCAACTGGCCAGGTTTTAAAGGCAGCATGCTCACATAACCAGTATAGCCCTGGGTGGTGGAGGGAATAAGCCGTAGGAGGGAACTGAAAAATAGCCCTAGCGATGCTCTAATCAGTCAGAGTGATGCTTATTTTGTTAGAGATATTCTTAACTGGGGTGTCATGTTCTGTAACGGCACCATTTTCATTAATCCAGGCATGGCTCAACATATAAAGGGACCAGGTCTGATTGCATTGTGCCCATTTTCCTACGGAAGCTGTTGGCCTAGAGGGAGTCCATTGTATACACAGAGCAGCCAAAGTCTGAGACGTTAATACATCACATTTCACCACAGAGGAGCTTTTGTTAGAATTGATTATGTTGGCCCCTTCATCTCCGGCCCAGTATTCTAAATGTAAGGGGACGGGGAGGATAGGCAGACCCTGTGCTCCATGTGAAGGAGAGTGGGCACACACCCAACAATTGTGAGCCCCAGGTGTGTGGTTTAATAGGGTTTGTTGGAGGTTTATGACAGTATTGGACTCCCATCCTCCTTCAGAAGGCGGTAGGGATAAAACGGTCATCGAGCTGATCAAAATCACATTCGTGTCTTAACCCACAACAGGTTTCCTTTTAAATAAAACCTTAAGATCCTCGATGGGCTCACCAGTATATTCCACTGCAGGTTGTTGGGGACACTCAATATTCGGTTGGTCAGGCTCTCTCAAGTCTCCCTGTCCCCCAAGGCTGCTCCTTGTAGAATAAAACTTAGTTGTAGGTCAGGGAGGGTTCCCAGTGCAGGCTGGCACTATTCTCAATCAGGTGTGATGTATCCAAGGGCAGACTCCCTTCAGATTGGCTGAAGAACGTGTTGTCAACAGTACTTCATAAGGCCCAGTCCATTTGTCCTGGAGCTGGCTCTGGGGAGTCCGGTCATTCCACTCCTTCAATAGGACCCAATCGCCTGGACAGAAGCTATGAAGGGGAGTATCTGTAGGATACAACAACCTGCTGGAAGCAAACTGGTTAATAATTTTAAATGTTGCAGACGAAGTTCGTACATGTCTTAAAATACACAATTCCTTAACAATTTTAAAGTTTCCCTTTTTTGTGTAACTGGAGTGCCACACTCTACAAAATGGTCTCCCATTGCAGTGAATTGCTTGATGTGGCCCTTCTAGCCATTGTCCTCCATTCTGTGATATTTTGTAAATCTCATTACCCATGCCTATTTGGGGTGGTGTGGTAGTTAAGGTCAGGTATCAACTTGGCTGGGCAGCTGGTAGCAGTCATTCCCTATAATGACTGGCAATCGACTCTGTGATGAGATTTAAGTTAATTCTGTT